GGATTTTGTGTTGGGCCATGTTCCTCCTGTTTTTTGATTTCATCTTTCTCTCTTCTTTGCCTTTTTTGCCTCTCCTAGGTTTCATCAGCACTGGCATCGTGAGAGGTGACATTTTCGTCAGTATTAGTAAACTGTGCCCATTTCCACCTTGGTGTGAGTAAATTGAGGAAACAGCTGGTTCTGATAGTTGTGGGGAAGGAAGCGGCTGTACATGTTAGCACTGACTGGCCCCTCTGCACCTGCCAAACACAGCTAGTTTTCCAGCTGCCCGAGAGGCCTCGGAAAACAAACACTTGCTTGTGTCAGCAGGATTGCTGCCTTGAAGTTTTTGTTACGGCTGTAAAGCCGACCCCGGTGTGCAGGGGGTGATGTATGCAGTGTTCCAGTCCTTGCTGTTCAAGAGTAAAGCTGTTTGATTCTGTGCAACTTCATTCTCTTTTAGGTGTAGCTAGGTGGTCTGCTGCAAAGCAAGGGCGTTCTGGTATCGTAGTGAGTCGTGCGTATGTTTCTCCTTAGTCTTGGACTTACCTAGAGAAAAGTCTCTTAGTAAACAGTCCCCTGGGGGGACGTTGCCAAAGAGCAGAGAGTCCGACATCGACTGAGCCCTCTGGTTTGCCAGGAGCTATAGGTTGTCAAAACAGCGTGTTTGCCAAGGCAGTGGGACGTCCTGGGGTTAGCACAGGTTACGTCTGTTGAGAACAAAGTAATGCTGACTTTTGTACATTTTCTGGCCAAGACTGACTCCACGTTGTGTGGGACGAAGTCCCCGTTGAGGGGTGTTGGGGTCGTGCACGGCAGCCAGAGCCCCGCGGCCCCTGCTCATCCAGCCAGGCAGGCAGGGAGATCTGTTTTCCTCATCTCATTTCCCGGGGTGGTTTTGACAGCCTGTCTGCGTGACCTTCTCTTAGCTGGGGTCCCCATGCCTGCGACCAGCATGCCTGTGCTGTGTTCGCGCTGCCAGCACGCTCCCTGGGCCGCGTCTCGACCAGCGGCTTGGGAGACATCTGGTTTGCTGACGCTGAGTTATTTGTCTAATCCCAAAGCTTTATGTGAGTCCTGTTTAATAATCCCCCCAAGAAAAAAAGGTTACTGCAAGAGGTTCTGTAATTGTTATCGGCACGTTTTGTAAGAGGTCTGTTTTCTCCCACCTTCTTTTTTTTTTATCAGAAGATAACAAAAACGAAAAGACAAACCAAACCCCCCAAGTTTAAAGACACACTTATAAATGCTTTACTATTTTTTACTGTAATTTTTTTTTCCACTGAAAAACAACCTATATAAAAAAAGAATCGCTCAGGGCTGGGCAGGGGAAGAAGCGTTCCTCCAGTACGACTGGGATCAGAAAAGCAGCACACCTGCCTACAGCTGCTTTCCCTGTGACGTGTGTCTCACACAGCCCCAGCTATCTGAAGTCCCTTCCAAGCCAAACGAGGAGCAATTTTTAAGTAGCTCCTCAAGAGGATGAGGCCAGGCCCAACCAGCAAAAACCCTTAAGATTTTACTGCACAGGCTTTATTTTCCTTTCCCTGACTCGTTTGCGCAGAGCTGTTAGTGACAGCCTGGCCTGCCTCCCTATAATAAATAGCAGTAGCGGACACCCCAGGACACCTGCAGCCCAACACTGCCCCATTGTTCACGCCAGGACCTGGCTGTGTGGGCAAGAGATTGTCGGTCAGGTCTGGGGCCCTGTTAAAGGTTTCTTGGCCAATTAATAGAAAATACAAGATTTCGTTAAAAAAGTTTTCCATCGGAGGAAGAACAGGGATGACCAAGCTGGGAATAGAGGAGCCCTCTGTGCAGCGCTGCTGTTTTCTCAGGGGCGGGTTGGATTGTGGAAATGCAGTTGGTACAGTGTTTGGGCAGGCTTGGAGCAGTCCCTTTCACTGACCCTTACGGTTCTAGTTTCTTCTGCTTTCCCACTAATTTGTAAATTATGTGTTTGCCAGGGAAAACACTTCGATACCCTTCTGAAGGAGCAGGTACAGAAGAGCAAGCTAAGGAAAAAAAAAATTTTTTTTTAAAAATAAAAATCCTTTAAGCAATATTTATGCACCTTTGAAAGTTGAGATTCTTACAGATTAAGAAAAAAAAAAGGACTGCATTTCTTCTCAGGTAGTTTTCAGACAGAGATCTCTTGCTAATTTATCTAGTGGTTTGTCTGTCTAATAATTACTCAGCTTTCATTAGTTTTAGCAGGATGAACAGATATGGGTATTTCCAGTGAATGGGCTGGGAAAGTGACATGAATTTCTACACTTCTTTCCACGTGTTGGTTTTCTGTGTACCATGGGTGAGTGCAAACCCATGATTACTTTTGCAAACCTATGATTACTTCTGCGAACTCGGAAGTTACGGTATGTTCAGGTGCACTTGGAATAGCTTCTGCTGCCTGACCCACAGCACGTCCTTTAGCTCACAGGGAAATGTTAGTTGGAAAGCTTAATAGCCTAGCTTTAAAAAAACCCACCTGGTTTAAGAAATTCTGCAGGTTGATGATGTTGAGGAAGCAGCATGAGACACCTGCAGTGTTATTTTGTATTGCCCAGACCCTTTGAGGGACAGGAACAGATTTTGGTGGACTTGACTCTACTGGTTTTCTGGTTTTGTGAGCCAAGGCCAGAGTGTTCTCAGGATCAGACCACTGCCTGTGCCATCAGCCAGCTAATCCTCTTTAGCAGGTGTTGTTTTACCTTCGCGTGTCCTTGTTACGGATGGACCTTAGAACCAGAGCTGGTGCAGATGTTGTAGGGTACCGTTCTGTAAGTTCTTCTAGAGACAGGGTACAGATTGAGTTCGTTTTCTGGCACAAGTAGACGTGTTGTGTAGCCACGGCAGTCACAGTCCCGGCAAGATGCCTGTCCTGCCTTGTTCAGCCAGCCCTGGCTAACGTGGTTCACTGACAAGTTACAGAAATTGGACTTGGAATCAAAAACAAGTAGCCTGGAGTGGATCCTTTGCGAAACTGTTGCTTGTGTGCAAAGGGGTTATCTCAGCCTCTCTAGCTCTTGCTGTGGCTTCGGGCCGGTCCTGCAGAGTCTTGTGTCCTAGGAGCAACTTCTCTTGCTGTCCCTTGTGCCCCTGCAGCACGGAGGAGCAGATTGGGCTGGGGAGTTTTACTGGCTGTTACCATTCCCGGGTCTGCTGGCTGGTCTGCTTTCAGCCACATTTTCAAGAAAACTTGGAAGTTAAGACTGTTTGAGCTTTCCTTCCACTGGTTCTTGAGTTGAGACTGTTTCTGCTGGGGATGCTTGGGCTTTGTTTCAGGGTTACTATTACGACAGAGCATCAGCTCACATGATGGTTTGGAATACAGGCATGTTTGTGGGCATGTAACAAACCCTGATGTGGTACTGACAGTGAAATATGTGGTATCAAGCACCACTGACCTGATGTGTTTGGTGTGAAAAAAAGGGGAGATACTAGTGGTGCTTTTTTCCCTCTTTTCTTTCAGTGCTAAAGTAATGCTGCCAATAAAATGCCAAACCAAAGAAATAAAAGGCATTTGGCTGAGAAAAGAGAAACTGGTGAAAGTTTTATACAAGCAGAGCTCAAAAATCCGCTTAACGACAAATCAAATAGATAGAAAATGGCTAAACAATCCGTGAATTTCAGTAGGTTTCACTAGGGACTTAACTGCAACACAGCTTCTTTCACCAAGTTTAAGGGGTTCTATTGCACAAAAACAAAGTGTCGTTAAAGGCTTTGATTGCGCAGGATACTTTTTGTGAAGTTTTCCCTGTTCTTTCAAGCCTTCTTTTCCAGGCTTTTTCTCTGCAAAGCCACCTGTGGCTGTAGCATTAGAGTAGCTACTCTGCATGCTCTTTTTCTCCAGTCTCTCCAGAATGGGCAGATGCTGTGGCCCCCAACCCCAAAACCATGAGCTTGTCTTTCACCTTAGTGGAAATGGTGATTCTAATGGATTTAGTTCCTTCAAGAGAGAATGAACAGGCTGAGATGGCTCTTCAGGGTGTTCTGGGATGCTCTTCCCTCCGCTTTCTCTCCGCATTCTGAGTTGGGTTTTGGTTTGGCTTTTGTGTTTATGAATTTACTAAAAGGCTTGGAGTTCTTCAGGAGCTTTAAAGACAAGCTTGCTTGCCACACAGGTTCCAGGAAGCATCTGCAGTTCTCTTTTCATAGGTCATAGTTAAAAGGCAATCCCCTGCTCTTCAGTCCTACACTTAAATTTGGGCGGGGTGAAGCGTCCTGCACTGACTCTTGTTTTTGCTTGTTGGGGCCTTTTTTTTTTTTTTATTTCCTTCCTTGTTTCTTGTTGCTTTCTTTTGCTCCTACTCCCAAATTTTTCTTTAAAAAAACCCCTCAACTGCTTTATACTTCTGCTTCTTTCCTCCGTATGTCTCTCCATTCTATTCTGAGTGTTGCCTGCAGTAACTACCCGCTCAGGAAACGTTCCTGTTCCCGGTTAGCTGAACCCAGAGGCTGTGCCTGCCTTCTCGTTACTCATGCTCACTTTGCACCTTCTTTGAGCAAGTTGTAGGTTCTGTGTGCACTTCTGGTTTTCATAAGCTCCTCTATTTTAATGCTAACAGAATTAATCTAAACTCGCACTCTCAGCAGGCTGTTCTCAGCCAGAATATTGTTTTCAAACTAAAGCTACGCCCTGTTTACATAGATAAGCAAATTCACAGTCCACAGAGCTTCTTCCAGTCAGAGCAGCTGCCAAACACTTAGCACTAAGGGACTGGGATGCATATGTTTCACATACATAGCAAACATTTGTTCTTCTGAAGGCTAACCAGATTTTTTTTTCTATTTCTTGGGGTTGTTGGTGTTTTTTTTTTTTTTTTTTTTTCCTTTTCTGAAGAGTTGAATGGTAGAACATCTGCTTCTTGGCCTGTCATTCTTTCCCACAAATGCTGTTTCCCAGGTTCAAAAAAGCTTGGTTAGGTTAGTTAGTTAGTTTGTTTGTGTGTGTGTGTGCGTGTGCATATCTCGGTGCCCAGATCGACCCCAGGGGCTCGCAGGGTGATGCTGCGCGCAACATGACGGTTGCTGTTGGCACCACGTGGGATCTTTCTGACCTGATCTTTCTCTCAGTCATCCCGGGTGCCGCATCTGATGCCCTTTGGTGGCACGCAAATGCACATAATAGAGATGGTCACTAACAAAAACCTGAAGTCCTTCTGCCCGGTGGTCTGAAGTGAAAGCTAGACCTTATCTGACAACTCAAGTGTTGGGCCTCAAGTAATAATTTTAGCAGCTGTGTGGTCTGCTCTCAGTGTTATTCCTGCAACCCTAGCATGAGCCAGGTCTCTCTAAACCACAGGAGAGCTTTACCATTTCGTATAAGGTACAGCACATACTGCTTTGAATTACAGCACAGTTGTTGTCTCTGTCTTTCGGCTAACTAAATACAATATGCAAGAATAATGGTACGTGCTCTGCTACCCCAGTTTAGCACCAGGCACTGCTCTCTTGGGCTGGAACCTGGCATGTAGCTGCTGCACAGGGAAGGTATGTAGAGATGCTATCTAAAGCCTGTGGTCAGAGCTTGAAGATACTTGAAGTAAGGAAGAAAACCCCGAGGGAAACATAAATTGTCTGAGCATCTCTAAGGATCTCTTCTTTCTTTTTAAAAAATTTTTTTTTAAAAATTTGCATTTACCTTTAGACCACATCCTGCTTATTTTGGATAGGTGAGAAGAAAGCTGACTAAAGGCTCCTGTGATCTTGATACTCTCAAAGTCGGTGGTTTTTCTTCTTTTGTACAGTAATAGGCAGGTAAAAGATGTGTGTTTTCCAAAATCCCGCTTGGCATTTTTGAGCAAAGGAGAAGGAAAGTGAATTAATTTCAGACAGACTGCAAATTGCAAAGCTTTTCAAAGTTCCATAAGTAAGGCCATGTTTTATGCTGTTTTCGCTCCCAGCTAGCTAGAAAGAACAGGTTAGCAGTTTATTCCTACTTGTCCAGCAAAAATGGCCATAGCATCTGATTTTAAGAGAGCAGTGAGGTCCTTTCTCTGACCACTGGTGTTTCTCTTAGATGTAGCATGATCCACAGGTGGCAAATAATCCAAACTCCAGCAACAGAAATAAGTTGATCCTCATTGAAAATATATTTCAACGGGTAACGTATTTCACGCCTGTCCCTTTCAGGCTAATTGTGCTTGTGTCCCTGGGTCCCCACCTGTGATATTGTCCACTTGAACAGAGTTTCCTCAGTGAATTGATAAAGGATTCCTATATATTGTTTGACTATACCTTCCCATCAAGTATCCCACTGAGCTTCAGCTTGGCACACTTGACCTGATTCTGGGTGAGGTGACGGCAGTGCATATTTTTAGGTGACTTTGGAGGTCGCTGACCGAGAGAAACACGCTTACTGGAATGCTTCTGGGGGAACTGCTCCTGAAAATGCACACGGTCATGGCAGTAGAACTGTCCAAATATTCCATGTAGTTAAGAAGATTCTGCCGGCATTTATGTTTCCCGTGCGCTGTTGCTTTTGGCTGAGACACATTCATTTTCATTGCAGTAGCTGGCGTGGGGCTGTGTTTTGGATTTCTGCGCTGATAGCGCAGGCTCGCGTTGGTTGGCTGAGCTGTGTTTGCACAGCATCAGGAGCTCTTCTGCTCCTCGGCCCACCCCTCCAGGGAGGAGATGGAGGTCCCGAGACACCGTTACAGGTGGCGGAGCTGTGCTTTCCTTGGTGTGGCTGAACACCTACTTGCCCTTGGGACATAGGAGATGAATTCCTTGCTTTGCTTGCACGGACAGCTTATGCTTTGCTGTCTTCATCTCTCCCGAGTTTTCTCACTTTGACTCTTCTGATTCTCTCCCTCCACTCACCGTGGGGAAGGGGAGCAAGCGAGCAGCTGTGTGGGGCTTTGTTACTGTCTGGGGTGAAACCATGAATTGGGGTCCGCTGGAATTGTTGCTCGCCAGGTTTTGCATCAGTTAGGTGTCTTCAGAGCAATTCTTTCCCACTCTGTCTCTCGTGGTTCTTGTTGAAAATGTTGTTGGACAGGTACAAAGAACTCCAGGAAGGAGGGATTGGCTCATAGTGTACCGATTTAAAGATTCTTGTTGGCAAAGAATTTACCATGTCCCCTGAGAACTTTTATGTTGAGTGGATAAAACCATCCTGTGTCTTGGTTGGACCCTCAAATTTGATCTTCACCTTCTGGATTTTGTAGTTGGATGCCATGTTAAATAAAGCTTGAGCATTAGACAAGTTATAATTACAGAGGCTGGCATCAAAACTGTCTTCAGATATTCTTCAGTCATTTAAAAAGAGTTTTCTTAGAGGTAATTTACGTTTAATGGCCATCTGTCATCTTGGCAGTGTCACTCTTCTACCTCTCGGTTTTCTACCCATCTTTTTTGAAAAGCATCAAGAACCCTGTGAATGGGGATGATCTCACTATGTGTATCGTTTTGTGCTTTCAGCTTTGAATCCCTCATCAAGCTGTTGATCTAAGTCCTCTTGTCTCATTTTTCTTTCCTGGTTGCTTATCCATTTAGGCAGGTATAAAACTGTGCTTCTCAAACTGAAAGAATGGGTAACAATTTCGGTCAAAAGCGATTGTTCCTGAAAGTTGTTGTTTCAGTTCAACTTACGCCAAATGCTGCTCTCTAGAAGAACTGGTCAGTTGGGGAAACTGCCTCACTGAGGGTTTAGTGAAGCCCTTATTCTTGGTCATACTTCTTAGTCACTTGAGAGGTAGTACATCTGGGATTTTGCAGGAGGGGTTAGGATCTTGTGCAGAGCTATTGAATTGTCTGTTTAATAGGAAAATACATACTTTGCTGCAACACCTTTTTTTTTTGAGCTGGCTGAGGTTTTCAGAAGATACTAAATTTATTAAACATGGTCTTAAGAAGTGACCTTTAAATCAGACTGTTGTTCACAATACAAAGCAAAAGTACTGAATAATTAAATTTATGCGATATTCATACTTTACATCCTTTGGGTAATATCAGAGGCTCTTGTATTTTATCTGTGTGGTTCCTCCGAGTATTTTAACCGTTTTATTGCATTGCCCTATTAAGGGAGTATTATTTGTATGATATAATCCTTGTTTGGTTCCGGTTTATTAAATGAAAGGAATGTGTTAGGCAGTCAGTTCTTAAGAGGTCTGGAATCTGGACTGCAATTGAATCCATTCCCTCTCAGTTAATTTATGTAATCAGATGAGAAACAAGTGTAATAAAATTTGTTCAAAGAAAATGGAGAATGTTCCCTCTGTGGATCCATACCAAAAAAAGTTCTCTGAATGTAGCTGCACAGCAAAAGATCAAGTTTGGTCTGCCTTCTGTCTTATCAGCCATACTTTGAGCGTCCCTCCTAGTAAAGGAGGATGAAATGAATGTCTTGAAGTAGAGTTCCAGAACTGATGTGAATTCCGGCCCTGTTTTTTTATTAGTGTTCTGTAACAGTGTGCTAGATATGGTGGTTTTGGTATCTTGTACACTGCAGTGTTTTATTCTCGCGCTTATGGTTGCAGGGTTTTTATTTCTTCTTGCTAGCGCGCATGTTCTTTTCTAAAATGGAGCCAGGTTAGGAGCCCTTTTTTTACTGTAAAACACAGTTCCTAGATTTTCCCCTGAACTAATGGTGTCAGATCACTCATTTAGCTCATCGGCAGCGAATCCTGTTCTGCTTTGGGCCTGGCACGCATCAGTCTGAGCACGGGAGGTCCGGCGCTTGAGGCTTTGTGGTGATGCCCCTGGTGTGTGATGGAAGTGCATCGTGATAGCCAGGCGCTTTCAGGCTCGACGAGAAACCTCCCATCAGGTTCTGCTCTTCTCCTCTTGTAGTTGAGCTGTGGTCTGTTTTCGCTGCAAGGGAGTGCAGTGTTTGGCAGTTATTCACGAGCCAGGCTTGGAATTCCCTCCAGTTGTATTGTCAAGTTGATTAGGAGATACCATCTGTTCATCTGTAAAGACATGCAGGCCAAATCACCACCAGCGGTACCTTCCCAAGCATCGGGCATGAGGCAACGTGTGATAGCTTCTGCTGGCTCTGAACGGGCAGCCCTTGGGCAACTCACTCTTGGTCTTCGTCTGCATTCATTGTCCGTTTGGTGTATTGCTCTGCAAGCGAAGCCAACTTCTCAGCAGTGCTAAGTCCCTGCAGGTCAGCAGCACAGTAGTGTGTCTAACAATTGGGTGCTACATGTAGGGACCAGAAAATAAACCAATCCAGCGTTTCTGAAATGCACAATTTCCAGTCTTGGGGATTATTCTAATTTTCAGGGCTTCCCATACTCCTAGTAGTATTACATCATGAAAGATTTCAGAGCTGAGAAGAAATATGTTGCTCTTTAGCATCCCTGTGTCATAAGGACTTGACCACGACTGATAGAATGAGTTTAATAGGATCTTGTGGAAAAGAGGTACCTGTTTCAAACAGTTTAATGAGCGCAATATTTTGGTTTATAGTTCACAGGAAATAAATAAGTTTCTTTCAGTGGTTTGTCATCACACTTCATATTTAAAAAAATGCCTGGGTCTTGGGTTATGAGTGTGCTCTGTGTTCGTTGACCAATATCCCAATAATACCAAGCCAGCTATGTTTGAGACTATGGGGAAACAAGTGGCAAGGGATGTGAAATTAGGGAGTGCGGACGTGAATGAAGCCAGTGAAGGCTGGTGTCACTCCAGCTGTGTAGGCTGGAGCTCTTCTCTAGCTGTGTGTTTGGACAAAATGTTGTTCTCATTCTTTGTCTGACTCGAGGATCCTTTCCTCATATAATGGTATTGATTGTCTATGAGACTTAGAGTCATAACTCACAGATAGTTTCTCTCTGGTTTTTAAATTTTTTTTTTTACCTACACTAACTTTCAGCAGTATTCATGGCTTGGTGACCTGTTCCTGCTTAAACGAGTTGCTATCTAGCATCCAGCGTCCTGGATTTTCCATCATGGTCTTCAGATCTGTTGTCGGTGAAGTGATGCCATCATGCTGACAGGAAGCGGGGCGGGGCAGGAGGCCAAGGGATAATTATTAACCACTGCGGAGGTATGCAAGGCTGAGGAGAACAGATGGCCACTTAGGTAGAGAGGAGAGCACATTCAGGCTTGATGTTTGCATGCGCGAGAAG